TAAAACTACCGACTTGTACACGATTTATAAACTGCCTGAGCCACCGAAAGTTAGTTCACGAGTCACATCGCCTGAGTGCTAGTACAGCTCTGAATGTAGGGCATGGCGCGCACTAAAAAGTGCCTTTCCAACGTCGAACGCTCCAACAGTTGTGCTATTATTCAGTGAAATTTATACGAACAATTGAAAAGGTAGCACTAGTCGACTAAGAGACATGGAATTCGATGGTCTAGTTAAGGGCTCCTCCCCTGCGCTACTTCAGGTCAAATCGTTATCGAATTCTCTCACTGGTGCCATGAAGAATTCTACTGAGGCGAGACCAGCATATTCGTCTCGGCTTCTCTAAGTCCACAGAAAGAACAACAATGAACAAACTAAAAAACTGCTGAGAAACCAGAAGGCGTCAAAAATCCAATAATAGCGCTGGAAAGGTAATATATGCAGTCCGAGATCCTGGATCGAAGAAGTGAGAAAGCTTACATTCACTTGGATTTTTGAAGTGAAGTTGAGGTGAAGTTATGCCTGAATAGTTCTGGACGAGGCGAAAATCATGTTGTTGTAGCTTCCACAACCACACACAGGGTTCAAATCCGCATCGCCAGTATTGCAAGGCCACCCAATCCTCTCCGGACTACTGCTGACTGGTGCCACAATCGCCTGAAAGAATAAGAACATTAATTGTAAATAAAAGCTCAACAACAAATCTAAAAGTGTTCTTGAACACTGGCAAACTGAAAAAAACATTGGCCAAAACCTTCGAGAGCTCCATGTTTTTCAAAAATCCAGTGATATTTCAGACTCCTCTTCCTCTTCTGCTCCTTCGGAATCTTCAACGACTTCTTCCACGGAACCTGAAGAGACCACCACCAGCACTGAGGAAACCATCACTAAGGAGAACTCAACGGATTCATCATCAGATTCCACAACTGAACCCCACGAAACTAGTGAAGTTACCTCAACGTCAGTTGCTCCCTCGAAAGCTTCCTCAAAAGGTAAAGCTGAAGAATTGACAGCCGTTCAGATCCGTACCAAGAGAAAGGCAGAGAAAGAAGGTTAGTGGAACGCCAGTTGGCAGTTTTTTCCTTTCCAAAAGGCACAGTGGTTATACGAGTTCGCACTTTGGTAGGTTAAGGATGACGTCTCTTTGACGTCATATAACATGTCAATGACGTCATTGGGATGGCAATACAGGTTTCCTCGTCATTATCTTGTCATGTAGCGATTCTTCTCATCAAGAGGGTAGAGGCAAGAGAGTGTTAGATGGCGCGTCACCTTCTAACTCTTAGCGTTTCACGGACCTGTGCTGCACTTGCATTTGACCTTCACTCAGGGGAGAAGCTGACCTCGCTTAGGGAACAAAATGGTGGCACCTCGGCGACGGAAAGGGGGGTTCTGCACTTTTGCTACTTCCCATCGACGAGTCGACCCATCTGGAGAGCTATTTCATGAGCTTACAAGAGTTGACAGGTTTTATCATGGTGGCTGGACGAGCTTGCTCCAGCTTCACAAGAGTTCACAGGTTTCACCAGAGTGAGACTTGTAAACCGGAACTAGTGAAGCAGCGAAAGTGCAAAATGCTCCTCCCCTCCCCCCCATCCCTACTGCCCCCACAATGGTTCTGACGCCTGCTGACGATTATCGGTTACTTTACCTGTTATCGTTTCAGTGTTTTCTCACAAGTCTCCGTTCCTCAATTCTTCATCAGATTTCCCTGCTGAAGACGAGGAAGTCATTCTTGAATCTAACTCAACATTGAAGCATCTGTCCACAACTTCGAAGCTCATTGATAGTATCCGCGTGCCGAGAAGAAGAAATGCATGAAAGGAGGCAATTTACTAATCGCCTTTTGGAAGAAACATCTAGCTACAGACAAACAAGGCGAAAGGCAAACCCGCCACATTTCACCTACAGGACCGGGTCCTTTGCATGTGCCAGGCGATTCCGGGGTCGTAATCTGGTCAGTATGTCACTTTCTTTCCGCCCACAAGTGTAACGGGACACGGGATGTAGATTATGTGATACCCGAATCCGTCTTCATACCCGCCCATACCGACTACCAAACGAAATAGGCAGTCACGCGTAAGATGAAAACAGATGACAGGCGCAGAAAAGTAGCGTGTTTGGCTATGACTCGGCCTGTGGCTGGCTGTGCGGCAGTGCGGAAGCATGGAGATGGCACTCGGGTATTCCTGCTCGTTTCCCATGCGTTATGAGGCGGGAAAACAAAGGATACGCCACTGCAGCTCGGACCCCCCACGATTTACCTCAACACTAATGGCGAGAACGGCAGGATCCACGTGTGTACTGTATAGTAGTCCTTCAGGTAAATTTTTTGTAGTAGTATGGGTGTAGGATACATCATCGGTAAATTACATGTCGTCACAATCGGCAAGGAGCTTAGGGGGCGTGGAATGAGCCCGCACCCGTTCTACCAATAGTGGCCGGTTCATTCGAAAAGAAACCAATGTAGAAAAAGCCGTCAATTCATTCGCACGCTAACTGGTACAACCACCGCCGCAGAATTGCAACGACAGTTCCGTCCTGCTAACTGTCTTCACTCACTGAAATCTACGCATGCACAACTGCCACAACGTGATGACACTACTATAACCCATCCTAAAAAGGTAAAATAAATATAGTTTTCAAGTTTGCCAGTGAATAAAGTGTACAATCCAGAATCTCTAGAAGGTCCTACACTGCGATTTTGTCTTTATGGTTCTTCAAGAACTTCGCAGCTTTTTTCATACTTAGTAAACAGAACCGGGCTCCGCTGATTTGTACCTCCTCCGTCGCATATGAAATGTGATTAAAGTGAAAACCATTCAATTATTCAGAAAATCACTTCTTCAGATATGGTCAAGAGTACTCCACGCAATGATTCATGAGCTAACTTCGGTCGACAGAATCATAACAGTCGAAAGAAAAAGCTTTTGGGTCTCAAAACCAAGCGCTAGAAGTCTGTTATGCTTGTAGAATGGCATGTTCAATGAGACCCAACGCTTTCAGCATTGAGCGACATTACGCCCGCCCCCGCTAAGCCATGGTTTTATTTAAGGCGGAGTGCACAATTGAAGCGGTTATACTCAGGCATTGAGTAAAACAGTGCTACGTGGGGTTGCCCAGACGCCCTTGCAACCCTTCACAATGAGTTGGAACGTTCTCGTCTTGCCGCCATAGCATTGCTCAGGGTAGTCAAATTAACACTGACATAAGAAAGATTAATAATGACACGCCTCCATCCGAAATAAACAATCGTATCCCATAGCGCTCTTTTCGAAGTCGCATTCCGATTTCCTGGGTTCCGACTACCAAACGTTGGAAATACGTATGGATCTGGAAAGTCGCCATTTGATTTTCCGATTCTACTACAGCTTCCAACAGAATTTATCTTTCGAAAAATTCAACTTAATTCTTTCCTACCTATATTTTTCGGATTTTTTCAGGGACGTTTAACCAAAAGCTTTTTTTCAGAATGTCAGCGGAACGCAGATTGCGGTACTTTGCAAACGCATCGAGAAGAACAAAGAGAGAGAAAACTGAGACATTGGAAACTGCTCCTCCAGTAATTGTACCACCCAAAGTGAGTTTGAACAGTAACGCTCTCTCAAATTTCCAGCACAGGGCACGAAAATGGAAGCAGATATTGATTTTACTCGCTAACAATCGATATCGATCATCTGTTCTTCATATGAGCATACTAAGGCATGCTTCAGTTGAATGACGCATTCTGAAACGATCCTACGGGCGGAGTTACTATAACCATTGCACCACTCACATCAGCCTATCCTCATCCCAACATGGCGAAGAGGAAGGCGCACCAATGAGGAAGGCGCAACTTTCACAGCAACTCCGCCCAAGCATCAAGCGCGGAATGTGCTTTTGATGCTGATATTGGTGATTCCCCTAAATCCACCTAATATGGTTAATTACAGGAGCTTCCAAAGGAGGAAATGTTGAAGCTCTCCCTGAAGACACAGCAAAATCTTCGCGGTGGTTCATTGCGACCTACCGTTCCTGAAACCGTCACGGTACCGTATGACAGCAAGGAGTTCCAATAGGCATCATGTGCTTTTCATGTTCATCTTTGCAATAGAACCATCTACGTGTGACTGTTCTTGTGCGACTACTGTTGGTCAGAGAATCAGGGGTGTTCTCGCTGTCTGGTGTCTGGCTTTGTTCACGATTATTAGAACAGTAACCTCATCCTAGCTACCTCAGTGATTTCCCAGGATTATTTAATTTTCTTCCCTTGCAATACTACCTCTGGGCTTATGGTTCTTTCGCTTCTTCTATAGTACTGGTATATTTTAGTGAATTGCCTCTACTGTGATAAATCGATAGATATTTTTTGTGTGAGGGTTGCTCAGGTTATGCAAGATTCAGGTGGGGCACTGGAATGAGGCGCTGCTGCCAAACGAGCGGTTTCTGTCGGAGTCCACTACGTGAGCATGTGACAAGACAATCGTAATTCGCCGCATTGGTGAGCGTCGCGCGGCGTCCCGCGAGGGCGATGTTTCGGGATAGGTGGCGATAATTGACAAAGTGATCGAAAAGAGCCATTGACAAGAGCCTAGCCTACAGTCATCGTCGCGCAACGAGCGTTTCTTGACGACCGGACCACGACGGCAACAATTTTACGCATTGGTCATGGGCGTCCTCCAGAACGAATGCTACCCAACTCTTTCAAAACAGCCTTAGTTTTCGTGAGAAAGAGGTACTAACCGCTGATGATACTGATACAGTACTAGTATAAATAAGAGTGATAGGGTCCGACCTCATTTTTACTTTTTGGCGGGTAGTGGCCTCGTCATAGGGTCTAAGCAAACCCAAATCGTCTGTTTCAGGTGTTTCAAATTATTCTCAACTACTTCAATGAGTTCAACCTCTAAAGAGGATGCGAACACGTTACAAGCCGCAAGGTTCAACCTCCAAAAACGAAAAAACGCCCCAAGCTACCAGTTCAACCTTCAAAGGGCCAAACATGCTACATAGTCACCGCTCGACAGGCCTAAGGAACCAACTCAACGCAACAAAGTTTGCCCCTTCGATTGCTCACGGTACAAGAAACGCCAAGAAGTACCGTTGCAACTGTTAAGAATATGAAGCGGTCACTGTCCAAAACTCGCAAGAGTGGCAGATCAGAAAAACAAGGCATCGGGTTCTGCCCCTCTAAAAGAGTGTAACAGACTTCTTAAAAGGCCACACTCTCTCCCTTTAAGGCTGCAAAACCTGTCAGAAACCGCAAGTGCTGCCACACAAAAAGATACCCACGTTACAATCCAATGGTGTTACTTTTACGGTGAGAACACGTGGCGGCACAGTTACCGCCACCACTATTTAACCCCTCAAGGCTACGGACACGTCAGAAGTCGAAGTGCTACCCACCAAGAAAGCGAACGTCTCACAAGCCACCGTGTTACCTTCCAAAACTGCGGACACGTCAGAAGTCGAAGTGCTGCCCACTCAAGAAAATAAACGGGCGTCACAAGCCAAAGTGATACTCACTAAGAATGAGAACACGTCACAGGCCATTGTTATACCCTCTTAACGATGAAAACGCGCCACCTATCAAGGGTTCACCCACGAAAGACTGCGAGTGTGATACAACCAATCGTTCCGATTCCCACTCCGCGCCGTCCGAAATCCGTGTCAAAGGATGCAGGATTACAGGTTAGTTCTTCATGAAATATTGCATCTTGCGTGGGGGGTCCGCGCCTTTTTGAAAGGCAAAAAACAAAATAAAAAAAAAAAATAGGATTCAACGTTGCGGTAGAGCACTAAGGGACAAGTAGCTGTTAAGGTGTACGGCGGCCCTTAATTAAGCACTACCTCGATGGGAGGGAAGGCAGTGCGAGCGCGACAACAGTGCAGGCCTACCCCTAAAGTCCGCCAAAGTAGGAGTACTCTGACTTTGCTTGGAAGACCGATTACTCCGATATTCACGGATTCCTTCAGAATCTAAAGGTAAAGCGACGTCAGAGGCAGGCTGTGAAGAACCTAACGCGTTCGGCTAGTTCGATCAAGTTAAAGTCGATCCTGACGTAAGCGAAAGGTGCAGTGAACCTCACCTTATGTGCAGACGCATTCCTCGAAGGTCGTCTAGTTTGCAGGCACAGAGGTTACACCACTTCTAAAGGTTGAAAATACAAGATAAGAAGCACTCTCCACATCCCTGTGCCATGCCCAACCAGCTGCGTGGTGGTGCGGTTGTTCAGCTACCAGATCCTTCCCTTCGTAATAGTGAAAGTAAGGAGATAAGGGGAGGAGAAGAAGGTGGGTAACGCGATGCTGCTTCTGTGGTCCATTAGAATTCCCTTGAAGTACATACCGCTTATAAGGCAAATGGGCGGGGAATAAGCTCAGGAAGCGTATGAAGCATGGCGGCTATAGGCTGCACAACCGCTCCGCCTTCCTCATTGACGTTGCTTGCGATTCTCCGCCCATTTCTCTGCTCATTCCTTTTGTCGCGGATGGTGCCTTCAGATAAATGTGGCGCAAGGCGAAAGTACGGGGCCATAGGGTAGTGACGATACACGCAAGAGTGTCTTGTAAGGGTTGAACCGCTCCTTGCTTGCTTTCAAACTGCAATTAATTTTGATAGGCTGTGATAAATTGAAAAACAAAGTTTTTTGAAATAGGAAAAGGGGGGGGGTTACGTAGAAAGCAGAGAATGAGCTACGGTGGGTTGACGGTAACACCACTACATTCGCTACAGGGACAAGAAGAAGCCAAGCCATGGTTTTTGCATCTGCTACAAGTTGATCGACAACTGTTTTTACCGCCTACATCCCATCTAACGTATAACGCTATGTGGCGCTATGTTGGTTCAGGAGGGGCAAGTAGTAGTTCTGTGTCAGAGCGAAAGTAAACTGCAATTTCAAGCTCCGCGTTCTCCATGGGCAAATCAATCATCATTCGTGTAAATTCGGATGATGTGAAACGACACACACCTGGGAGATCTCCACTCTTCAGAAATGGCAGTATTATTTGGCACTGGCTGCAGGCGCCCCCCCCCCCACCCAAGCACTCCCGGACGGAATAGGCCCCAGTTTATCTCAACAATCACCCTTTTCCCAATCTGGATCAAGTGCACCCGCCTTGGCTACTAGGTATTCTCATACCTTATCCAGGGTTGTAGAGGTTCGGCTAGGGTAGAGAACGAGCTTTTTCCGTAGCTGTCCTTCAAGCCGTGATTCCTAGCATGGGAAATGACCGCTCATATAAAAAGGGATCTAAGACAGATCTCGTGAGAAAACAGCTTCTCTCGCCTAATTTAGCTCCTATTCTATGAGTGGAGTCTAGAAGTGACGGCATGCTAGCAACACACACGCAGCGAGAGTCTCATTTCCACCGGCGCTTGACTTCCACCCAATCGCTTAGGGCTTGCATTCATACTTTAGGGCAGCGTCTACCAGCGAATGCCAGCGTCTGCCAGTCTTTGACAGTGTTCAACCAGCGACCGAGAGTTGGGAGTATGGGGAGTAGAAGGTAGAAACAGTGATTAGGCGTCGTGAAATTGCGGCTTGTGCAACAGCACCGCACAACGGCTCAAGTGCGGAATTATGCAATTTAACGCACGGTTTAGTGTAGTTGTACGGTGCGGTTTGTACACGCCGCAATTCCACGACGCCCAATCCAGCTGTTTGTTACCCTCCTGCTTCCCCATACTCTCTACCCTCCGTCGCTAGTGGACGTTGGTAGACGCTCATGGACGCTGCCGTAAAGTATGAACGCATTATCGTGATCAAAGTTTCAGATTGGCATGATCATTACACACAAAGTGGGTCGATGGAAAGTACAACGGAAATATCGCATCAGGGCCATTTTCCGAAGTGTTCGTTGTTGTCGATGTGGACAATAAAAAGGCAAAATATGCGATGAAATGTGAAAGACAAGAGGGAAATCAGAGGTGGCAGTAACTTTTCGGCTGATAAAGTAAAACCACCTTTTGATATGAAGCATCTACAGACCTGTGCTGAAGTTGGACGTATTAGTTCTTATGTCAGTGAAAGGTTCTGTGGGATTCCCGCTCTTCATAGCAGCCGGTCGAACGAAGATATATAGGTGAGAACATCTTACCTTGTCTACAATTTTCATATAGAAAAATGATTATCGATCGAGCACGCGCAAAATCAATACCTACACGTTTGTACATGCGTTTGCGGAATACATCAAAATCGTCACTACAAATGTAGCTTTCAGGTATTGCGTAATGCAGTTAGTTGGTCCAGATCTAGGAAAACTTCGAAGAAGTCTTGTTGCTAAACGGTATCAAAAAGTAGGACCATTTCAGTTGCCACGATCAGATCGATAATCGATTTTTGTCTCAGGTTCTCAGTCCCTACGGCTCTGCGGGTACTTCAACAAACATTACGGAGATTAGAAGTACTGCATGATGCTGGCTGGCTATGTCGGTGAGTACATACACCGTAGCTTCAAAGAGGTGTTCATCGTAGGACATGGCCTGCCTCAGCACGTGCGCGTGAGGGATGAATAAAATATCGATCATCTGTCCGTGCACAAATCAATATCCAGTCCACGCGCTGGAGGCGGGCAAAGGGTCTGCATGCCTTTTGAAGGAAAGGAAAAGTGTGTGTGTGTGTGTGTGTGTGTGTGTGTGTGTGTGTGTGTGTGTGTGTGTGTGTGTGTGTGTGTGTGTGTGTGTGTGTGTGTGTGTGTGTGTGTGTGTGTGTGTGTGTGTGTGTGTGTGTGTGTGTGTGTGTGTGTGTGTGTGTGTGTGTGTGTGTGTGTGTGTGTGTGTGTGTGTGTGTGTGTGTGTGTGTGTGTGTGTGTGTGTGTGTGTGTGTGTGTGTGTGTGTGTGTGTGTGTGTGTGTGTGTGTGTGTGTGTGTGGTGTGTGTGTGTGTGTGTGTGTGTGTGTGTGTGTGTGTGTGTGTGTGTGTGTGTGTGTGTGTGTGTGTGTGTGTGTGTGTGTGTGTGTGTGTGTGTGTGTGTGTGTGTGTGTGTGTGTGTGTGTGTGTGTGTGTGTGTGTGTGTGTGTGTGTGTGTGTGTGTGTGTGTGTGTGTGTGTGTGTGTGTGTGTGTGTGTGTGTGTGTGTGTGTGTGTGTGTGTGTGTGTGTGTGTGTGTGTGTGTGTGTGTGTGTGTGTGTGTGTGTGTGTGTGTGTGTGTGTGTGTGTGTGTGTGTGTGTGTGTGTGTGTGTGTGGTGTGTGTGTGTGTGTGTGTGTGTGTGTGTGTGTGTGTGTGTGTGTGTGTGTGTGTGTGTGTGTGTGTGTGTGTGTGTGTGTGTGTGTGTGTGTGTGTGTGTGTGTGTGTGTGTGTGTGTGTGTGTGTGTGTGTGTGTGTGTGTGTGTGTGTGTGTGTGTGTGTGTGTGTGTGTGTGTGTGTGTGTGTGTGTGTGTGTGTGTGTGTGTGTGTGTGTGTGTGTGTGTGTGTGTGTGTGTGTGTGTGTGTGTGTGTGTGTGTGTGTGTGTGTGTGTGTGTGTGTGTGTGTGTGTGTGTGTGTGTGTGTGTGTGTGTGTGTGTGTGTGTGTGTGTGTGTGTGTGTGTGTGTGTGTGTGTGTGTGTGTGTGTGTGTGTGTGTGTGTGTGTGTGTGTGTGTGTGTGTGTGTGTGTGTGTGTGTGTGTGTGTGTGTGTGTGTGTGTGTGTGTGTGTGTGTGTGTGTGTGTGTGTGTGTGTGTGTGTGTGTGTGTGTGTGTGTGTGTGTGTGTGGAGTGTTTTGGCACACTGGTGTTTTCTCAATATGAGTTCCTCCTGCCTCCTGATGATGTGAACAGCTGCGAAAACAGAGCGCGAGGTCTCAAGGAGAGCATAACTCATCGACTCAGCGTGAGGGTGTTGAACGAGAGGGAGAGCTCCAGCTCGCTTCAACTAGGGAACATTTCAGGCCAAGGTTTGTTATTCCAGAAGAACTCCCCAGATGCCTCGAATCGCGCTTAGAAATCTGCCCAAAGTGAATTTGTGAAACACCCTTCGGAACAGGCCGAGTACTGACTAGCTACTAAGGCAGTAATGACACACTTCACGCTGACTTCGTTTGCGCAGTCAGCTGCTTCCCCTTTGATGCTTTTTGGCTCTTTCTAGGACGCTAAGAAGCAGTGGCATCCTAAGTAAGGGGCAGCACATAGGGGGGACTAACCTCCGTTTATCGAGCTGCAGGGCCCATTGCTGTACGATGCGTCGCGCGCGGAGACCCGTGCGGCAAATTACGATTGTCTTGACCGTCCCTCGTCGTCATGCCCCTGAAAAGACTACAAATCGACAGTGCTATACATCAGCGCATTTTCGTGCTAGGAAGCGGAAAAGGCATAGGATACCCCCAGAGCATGAGAGGCCATTGAAAAGCCTTTGTTGCAGTGATGTCAAAAGCGCCGAATTTCGCTATCGGTCTTGGGCACGAAAGTGGTATCATATATATGCTGGATTTTGGATTTGCTAGAAAATACAAGTACGTCAGCAGGCGCTTTGGATTCAAATTAATAGGTCACACTCTCTGACTATTTGACAATCAATTTGTTCCTTGAAGGGATGCGAATGGTGTGGTCTACCCTCCGCGAGAAGCCGCGGCACTTCTAGGGACGTTTCAGGTTAGTCTCTGTCAAGGAGGGGAGTGAAAACTGAGAGAAGTAGACAAAAAGATGGAATGTAAACCTGAAGAATAAATACATTGGGCGGGAATAGTTGAGAACACGAGAGTCCTCCAGAGACAAAGACGTTCTGTTGGCTGTTGAAAGGCCAAAAATCCTTAGAAAAGATGGGACCACATTTCGGAGGGCAGAAGCCGTGTCATCTTGACGAACCACAAATGTCATATCATGATCACGGTATCATCTGCCTGTTGCGAAAGAGCGGACAGTTGTGTAAGTGACAATGGCGCGCTTAACGCACTCGCGCTTGTCCTGGTTCAAATCGCCGGTTGGACTCGCCGTTTCAGGCTAGCAACCCTCTACTCCTCTAAGTACGGTAAATTTAATGGCAGATTCGTCCTGGGAGGACAAGAACAAATGATAGGTAGATCGGCCGGCCCCGCAAGTCATTGTATAAGCCACATCGCACTCAATAAGCCACTACGATCCTGAATGGAGCCCCATTCCTGCCAAGCGGGCGCGTTCACGAATGTTTTTTCTAAGAACCCTTTCCCGCCTCTCTCCAAAATGTTATGGAAAAACTGACAAATAGCCTCCAATGGTAGAAGAGAATGGCGCCTGTTGGTTTATGGCATTTTTGTTTGAATCCGTAACACCACCTACCTTTCCAATGTCACAGGCCGATTCACAATAAAACTTGGCCTAACCAAGCACCCCCTCATCGGGACGATTCACTAGTGATCATATCTTTCTCCAAGCTACTTTAACTCCTAACGCGAAATAGCCAGGTGACGCACGTTCTGTACAACGAAAACGTTGCTAAGAGCCGGTCAGAAACCCCGAGTGGTCTTGGTCCGACGAATAGCGCCATAGAAATCACTCAACTGATTCACGCGAATCAGAGTCAGTGCGTAAAGTGCATACCTGAAAATAATCGAGCAACTACCAACACTTCATGCTGTAGCATGTACACATCCTTGGCTAGCCACTCCGCCCGGTGACAAGCACGCAAAGGGGACGATCTGGAAAGCTGGTTACATGGCAGCTGAATTGTTTAAAAGGTGCCGGCGAGACGATCTGGAAAGTTGGTTCTACATGGCAGCTGAATTGTTAAAAGGTGCCCGAATCTAGTAATTTCGGCCCATGGCTACTAGGCAACAATGGCTCTTTACTCCTATGATGTCATGGTATTTAATGGTCCCTATTAAGGTCCACTACCCTGGTCGAAAATCGATGGTCATAAAGAACATCGGATGATTATGGTCAGAAAAATGTATATCCGAGCTGAAGGGAGGGCTGATTTTATCGCAGGCATGCCAACCGAATTCGATCATATTCTGTCGATGATCGACCAGATGAAGTAGGTTTTCTCAGAGTTTCTACGGGCAATCTTTCAGAAACGGGTATCTCCCAGCCCTTAGGCGTTAATCAGCAAAAGGGCAGGGGGGGCGCATTCGAAGGTTTTTTGTGCAGTGCTGGGTTTACCGTCATGGGAGTTGACATTCTTGCTTGTGGAAGGAACTGCGATTTCCTCGGCGGGAGGGGTTTTGCATTGAGGTTATCCCGGTTCTGCAAAAAAATGTCCTTTATTTGCCCCCTCCTCCTCCCCTTGCCTGCTCTTCTAATGTTCTATGAGTCAGCTTCTTCGATCGACCTCAATATCAAGTCATTCAATCACTCATCGATCAGGCAGCTGAGAAGCTTGGTTTCACTCTACATGAACCGCTTGACTGGCAGGTACGTACTATCTATACCTGAAAGCAAAGAGGGGTGTTTCTGGCAGCATAGCGCGAGCGCAACGACGGCAGCGAGGTTCTCGACGGAAGAGAGGCAAAGACTTACGATTGATATGTCGCAATTAGTTGGGGCGTCACCGAGAGAGATGAAGTGAGCCGCCCGCGGTGTTTCCACTATTGGCTGGTTTCCTTCCTGAATCGATCACTATTGGTGGAAGCACAGCCTAAGGTGGGATCATTCCACGCCTGCTGACACCGCTCCGGCTGGCTGCGACGATATCAACTATATGTATCGGGGAGCAGAGCCAGAACAAGGATATTCAGCTGTCACCGGAACGCCCCATTTTAGTCTCCGGTATGGAGTTTGTGTTCGGCTTTTGAAGAGCTGCGAGCGTATTTATTAGATGAATTGAAATCAATAAAGAGGTCAATAATCAATAGGAACGCCCTATCAGTTTGATGTTTTAGATGAACGCTCGAGTACTTCGTAAAGCGGAATTTGTTGGTGAACTTGGTGAATCGAATTTGGCGTCAATGAAAATGGATGAAGAAGGTGACACTAGCTCCGAATATTCCTTGGATAAAACACCGCTTGATATTGAACTTCCGGCTAATATTGAATTGAAAATGAATAATTGAAAATTTTTCCGGTTGTCCTTGTTCATGTGATACAACAGAACTGAATAGAAATCTTCGCTTGCTCTGAAACAACAGGTTACCTTTTTGCCAAGATGTTGGCAAGTGTACCAAGGAGAAGAATCGGCGCATGCTCTTCCCAGAAGGAGCGTGTGTCCCTCATTTCAATAGTCAATCTCCTGCACACCATTGGCCACTTTTCTCAGTCTGAGGGCCGCTTTGGAACCGATTCACATCCTCCGCCCCCTCCTAGTTAGCAGCGCACTCAATGTCCTGCGTTGTAACGTAAGTTGGGGAAGTGGGATCGTAACAGAGGGGAACATTGGGGCTCGATCGGTTTCTGCAGAAAAAAATCCCCACTGAACAGGGCGAGCCCTGACTACAGAAGGTCCTGCAGGTCCTTTGCAAGGAGAATTATAGATATTCGGCAAACTAAATGTACCTCGGAATCCCTGGGCATCTGGTAGCGCGTGGCTGCGTAACCTCGTCATCCGGGCAGTTGATTAGGGCGGTCGTCAACGGGCCGCAGCGCGTGCCAGGAACTATTTGCTTTTCCAGGCTAATTTAGTCATTTTTTTCCACCTTGTGAAGATAAGGAGCTGCTAATCTGGGAAAAAGTAGCCAAAACAGTGAAAAGTTGGAAAAAATGACTAAATTAGCCCTGGAAAAAGCAAATAGTTCCTGGCACGCGCTGCGGCCCGTTGACGACCGCCCTAATCAACTGCCCGGATGACGAGGGTTACTTGATTTTAAAATGGCGTCAGCCCAGGTTTTCGTGAGATATTCTCATTTCGGAGCAGTCGTAATCATGTCTACATATGGCACAGAACAAGATGGCGGTTGTTTCACATTTATTTATTTATTTATTTATTTATTTATTTGAATACACCCGAGGGTGTGCCACAGACGCAGGAAAAAATTTGAAATACGCAAATCGCACAGTGAAGATTTGAAAAGAAAACAAAATCAAAACAAAACACAAACATAAGAAACGAAACACTGGGCAAGAGCGAAGGAATAGGCTGTGAGTCGAAGTTCTAAAGGAAATAAGAACCGGGACCATCATTGTGACAGGATGATAAGGTCATTTTCCCCTTCAGGTAGATGAAAGGGTCCACCCGCGAGATCCTGGTCCTTGGTCCAGAACGCAGAGAGGTGACAACAGTACTGGGGCTTGCTGACAACTTAACCCGTTACGAACGAATTCGTCCGGGACCCCAGGAACAAACCGAGGGGGACCTCAAGCGAGCGCGTTCAAATTGAAGTATGTCACGATGAACCCATCCTATGCCATGCTCAAAAGCCACGCCTACTCCTTCTCAGGGATAAGGAGTGTACAAGAAGAGAAAGGCATTCAAGAATGGGTCACAGCGTGGCGACGCGTACAATTACGGCGTACCGCGCGCGGCACATCCCGCCAGTGCCTTAACGACAAATTTGTGCACTGGCGCACTACGGCCATGTGCCGAAGTTGTACAGGATTCATACGAACGGGCTTCACTACAATGAGTACTACTGATTGGATCCCGAAAAGTGCCCGAACCAAAACAGTGGACATGGATATCGGCTTGAGTGGGTCAACGCAATCTTTTTGGCTGCAGAAACGATCCGTATCCCTGCTATAAAAAGGGTGTATCCAGTGGCTTATACGTGAGCGTGACGGATGATAGACAGGTGCTGATACAGCTCGAGATGTAACATGTACGTATATATACTCGAAATCCTTGAGATCGGGTAGGCGTGGCTGCGTACTTGATTTTTAAATGGCGGCGGCCCAGGTTTTCGTGAGATATTGTCATTTTGGAGCAGTCGTAATCATGTCTACATCTAACACAGAACAAGATAGCAGTTGTTTCAAATTGAAGTATCCCACGAGAAACCCGTCCTGTGCCGTGCCACGCGTACCCCGTCTCAGGGATAAAGAGTGTACATAAGAGTGCTGATACACCTCTAAACCTTATCGGGCGTCGCTCAGCACATCCGACATTTGACATTTGGTGAAAGCGAGGTACATCCTACGGTGCTGAAAGCAAGATACGTCCTACGACGAGGACGAGGGTGGGGGTCGCATTCGGTCGCTGGAGGGAGGGTGTCGTATTTGTTTCTCCGTTTGGGAAGTTGATTACGTCACTGCCTTGGAAGAAAAAAGCCGCCCACCTGAGTTGGGCTGCTGACTTTCCCTGTTTTTCCTGTTTCTGTTGCTATTTACCCCTCCCCACTCAAAATTTTCAAGGAAAACTAGCTTCGAAAGTTGGCAAGAGAGGGAGGCAGGCAGGAAGTTGGCAAGAGGGGAAGGCAGGCAGGACACCGGGTAGGACGAGAGGAGGGGATTGTAGCAGACGACGAAGTTGAGGCAGGGGCTTACTCCGAAAATTTCCCCCAGCGGCAGGAGGTACTATGACTGAAAGAGGACATCGACATCCAGGGCAAAATGGATCACAAGTTGTAAAGTCATCGATTCCAAGTGACATCGGTGAGGTATTGCTTCAGGATCTACAGTGGTGGCGAGCATACAGAGTTTTCGAGGAGAGGGGGGAAGGGGAAATGGGGGGGGATTTTAGGAAGCTCTCAAGGCCTTCTCAGTCTTTAGAGCGGTAGCCCATAAAATGTTGAGTTTCTGACTTGAGTTTGATGTTGAACACATGAATTCGTTTAAATTCGCGTTGGAACCCAACAGCGCCTCTCCCCCACTTCCTCTTCTGGGAAAGGGCTAAGGTCGTCTTCCTTCGAGTGGTATCGACTGAAACATAATGTTAGGAGGACGGCTGATAGGTCCGAATAATGATCAATAGGTTGAACTGGAAGCAACCGTAGCCATCATCTGGATATGAGTCCGGGGCACTTGCCCACCAGACGTGCTCTCGTTGCGAGGGTCCAGGGATATTTTCTCGTGGCATCTATCAGCCCAGCAGCTGAATGGAGAAGTAAAGGATGAGGGAACAGAGAAGCAAGGAAGGAAAAGAAGGAACGATGAAGGAAATAGGAAGGAGAAGAGAGGCTTCGCGGTCAAGTGCCCTGAGATGCTAAATATGACCACTGGGAAAGTTGATCAATACCCAGCGACCCAGTGGGGTCTGTTAAGGCGCTGAGTTCTATTGTGGTATGTGTTCTATCTCAATCCTTTCTCTTTTTCGCTCCTTATCCTCGTTACTTGTTACAAGTCTTGGCACTATTTACCCTTTAATGCCCCAGCCATCCGAAATCAGGCCAGTTCCTGACCGACTTTTTTCTCCGTGGGCAGAATTTGCTGAAAACTTGGCTCCAGGGGTAGTTCGACCCGCTGAACACGAATATCACATCCGCTCAACCCGAAACCTCCTGGCCCGCACCACGGGCACCGGCGCCAAAATACCCCAAATCATTGGCGCCTGTGGCGCGGGCGCCAGGAAGTTTCGGGCTGAGCGAATGTGATATTCGTATTCTGGAGGTCAAACTACCCCAGGAGACAACATTTGAGCAAAATCTGCCCACGGAAAAAGTCGGTCAGGAACTGGCCTAATTTCGGATGACTGGGGCAGTAAAGGGTAAATAGCGCCCAAGTCCTTTTATAATCAGTTCTATAAGTTCAGGGGTTATTCACCAATACCCGTATGCAGACTATTGGATATTTTCGCCCACATCATGGGGAAAGAATAGTCCGAAGTTTTCATGTGGGAAGCCTACCAGCCGGTATAACCATGTCGCTCCACTGTTCAGGTAACCTTCGAATATTGCTTCGAAAGTTTTGTTAATTCACTGATTTGTTTACTGGTTTTTCCTTGTGAACTGAAGTTGATGTTGATGGTGAAATATTTTAGAAGTTTTGTTCCCTACGTTTTTTTTAATAATTTTTTTGCTCATGCTAGATTATTGAGCGCTCCGAACTAATCATCCTACCCTTATAGGTTATTGTAGTGCAAGATGTGATAGGCGCAGGGTCAGTTCTGCTCCTCTGTTGTATCGACGCCTACCAGCCCACTCGGAACCAGCGCACATCATCGTTGGTGATTCTCCTACGGGGGTCGTCTTTGGTCGCCAGGAGGGAGGTCCTAGTTGGTCTGAGAAAAATTTTTGATAGTCGGTTTTTCTTAATTCACGGATGCTTTAAGGGGAGGGGGCATATTTGCTCAGTGTTGAGAGAGAGGGAGGTGTCTTATTCGCCATCTGAGAGAAATTTGGGGAGTTGAGAAAAATCTTTCCCGGTTTCGGTTATTGACTTTTCGCGGTTTTTCCTGTTTCACATGCTCACAAGTGCTATATACCCCCCACGCCGACAGCTCGTTCGTATCAGGGAAACCAGGAGGGTCGTATTTGGCCACCTTTTGGGAGTAGGGGTCGCACAGACTTGACCAAAATCCCCAATCAATGATGTGCCTTGCTCGGAACTGATTGCATCCATTTTCTCTGATGGAATCTTTTCTAGTCATTCTCATTCAACCCCAATTCGTCCCAGAAACCTACATGAAAGTTGCACGAATTAGGAGATTATAATTTGGTAGTGTTGTTTTGTTGTATTATTACTTCATTTTCTTATTGCGAATGATTTACATTACATAATCTTCATTCAGGTGACCCACAAACATTATGGGCTTTCAACAATTCACAAACTGTTACAATACATTTTCTGGCGCAGTTCGCCTGGGGGGGGGGGGGAAGACACGCACTCTGCCCACTTCCCATCTTCCTGTTGAGCCATCAAGTAGAGATTCATGAAGTTTTTTAAAGCCATGAAGTAATACAACCGAGTTTTTGAAAACCACATATCAACTTTTGTAAAGAATACCTGTTAACTCTTGTAAAGCAAGAAACACGACGATGGAAAGAAGTGAGAGAGCAAACTCCCCCCCCCCCCCTTCCCCGAGTCGAAAAAGTCGAGCCCTTCGCTTCAAAACTGAGACTGACTGGAAGGAAAGAATTTTTCAGAAAAATGTTTTCAACCAGCGAGAGGCAGAACGGACCATCTGTGTTCTGGAGAGCTTTTCCAGGCACTTTTCTTTTTTCTTAACCAAGATATGAGCAAAAAT